AAAGAGTCATGTGATAGGCTTGAGATGGAGTTGGCAGTGGCTCTCCTGAGGAGTAATTTTTCATATATGGCTGAGCATTATCATGGCTGCCTGCACATTTGCTGTTAGCAGGGTTACGAGTGAACCTATGGGTTCAAGAAAGTCAAAACTGAGCTCTCACTTTTGCTAACCAACTGTCTTGGCATGCCATCTCCAGGCTGCCTTGAACTTCCTTTTCAGTTAAGATGCTTCTGTTCCCTTGAAGGAAGCTGTCCACTGGTGTGTGGAATGCTGGAGTGGCTCAAGGAGCCAGCTTTTGTCCCTGTTGGCTGCTGCTCCCACTGAAGATCAGGTGGATGGCGTGTGAGGGTATCACTGCTGTCAGAAGAGCTGCTGCCCCACCTCAGGGAATTTATAAAGGTGCTGCCCCAAGACTTTTGGGTTACCTTCATGCATAGGTTTATGAAGTGCTGTGGTCCAGGAGCTGCTTTGTAAGTCATTAAGCCATCCTTTAGGGAAACCTTCAATGAGAAGGAAGGGTTGGGGAGTTTGTATGGACTGGATGTCCAGAAACAGCTCTGTGTCCTGTTTGGACCTTCAAGGAAAGGGGTGAAGTGGATGGGGAGAGCTGCTCTCCTTGCCAGCTCACATGGAGATGTATTGACCACGCATCTGTGCATCAGCCTGGGAGGGTGCTTTGGAGAATGTTTCTGAGCAAGTACAACACTTCTTAAATGGCATAAAAATAAAGACAAACTTCCATTATGCTGAAGATGTCTTCATTTAAAATGAGAGTCCTTTTGTTGGGAAATTGTGATGAAACCGCACGAGTACTGATGACTTTGCCTGCTACTTTGTGTGACAGCCTTGTTGGTGAAACTTGATGTGCTTCATGGGAGGTTCCTTTGGTGGTGTGGCCATAGCAGCTGTCTCTAGAAAGGGCTCTGAAGGTCTTGGCTTGCTCAGTGGAGCTCCACAGTTCCACAGGGAGGCACTGTGTGGCCAGTCAAGGCAAGAGAGGCCTGACAGCTCAGAAAGAGTAGCCCAACTTCCTGGCTGGTGGGCTTAGGGGTGGGAGGTGGGAATCCTCAGTGAAGCTGCAGAAGAGGTCCAAAAATCGGCACTACCTTCACAGGATTTTCCTACTGGAGTAAAACTTTGCACAGATCTGCAGTGATATGAAAGCCATGGAAGTGGCTCATCTGCAACAGCAATGTCACTGCTATGGCTCTGGTCAGCCAGAGAGATGGACTGCTCCATCCTTGGAACAGCTGCAGATATCCCCTGCTTAAACATGTCCTGCTGCCTTCTGGAGTTCCTGAACTGCTAGATTCAGATGTACACTGGTGAGCGAGCTTCTGCCCAGTAGGGATTTACCTGCTTGCTGTCTTTGAAGGCTTGTGCTTTGTGGGGATGTGTGTTACCAGCTCTCACTGCTGGGAACATGAGGTCCCTTTACAAGCAGTACAGCCTTGTTCTGCATTTTGCTCTTTGTTCTCATTCTGGTGTGTTTGGGTCACATTTCCATGTACCTTTCACCTCCCAGTTCTGGGTGCAGAGATGTAACTGCACACCTCTCTGCTTTCTTCATTAATGCAGAAGTCCTAATTAAAGTACAGGTTTCTGATTAAAGCCCACTCAACTGCTATGAAATTAATTAACAGGTGCAGAGGCTATCTTCACTATGTGGATATTCCAGGATGATTGCACAGCAATCTCGTCTAAGGTGACTTCTGT